TGAGCCCTGATTCTGGTACAGAGTCTGCAGGGGGCAAGCTAGGTGTTTTCGGGCTGCCTTGGCGGTTATGTTTCGGGTCTCTAACATCTTGACCATCTTGCTCACTACTCTTATTAGCCTCGAAGCTCTCCAGGCGACACTATCCCAACGTACTGTCTTTGGACATGACGGTCGAGGAGGTCCTTGCGATGGAAAGTCTTATTACAGTTTTCGACCGGGCAGAATAGATCAGGAGCTGAGTGACTGAGTTGATGACGTCTGCATCCCCTTGTTAGAAACACCTTTTAGCTTCGAGGAAGACCACAAACCTCAAGTGCTCTGCCCGAGAGAAGGTCTGGTAAAGTTAGTTATGAAGATCGTAGAAAAGGAAAAAAAATACCTTAGGGCACTGGTTGCATGTGTGAACCGGAACACCTTTCTTCGCCTTACTAATCTTTCTGGTTATAGGAGTCAACTTGACGTGTGCCTCTCCAGTGGCTGCTCCGGTGAAGGGCCTCATGGGAACGTGAGATGATGGGCCAGGCTGGTAGGAGAAGTCGTTGGACTCGACACTTGCGTTGCTACGGCGTCGGCTAGTCATGTTGATGTCGGGCTTCGGTGACGATGTGTGGTCATCGAGAGAAGATGCCATGGATGAAACAGGAATATCGGACCTGTTGTTATGGGAGGAAGAGGGTGGTGGATGTTTTAATGTAGTAGCATGGCTGTGGGTAGAGGGTGGTCTTGAAGTCAAACTGACGGAACGGGTTCCGGAACTTGAATCGACGTGTTCATCGTCGGTATTCATGATATTCTTGAGACTAGCCATGGCCCAGAGTTGAGAACAGAAGCACAAATCAAAAGAGGCAGTGAGTCCGGAGAATTGTAGATGGACAAGCCAAACTTAGTAAGACACAGCCCCCAGGGAGGCGTATGAATAAGTCCCGGCAGATGGGACGTTTTAGGCTCATGTAAAGAAGGTGGGCAATGAGGGTATAGAACAGGAAGTGGGAGTAATAGTGGGGGAGTTTGTGTAGAATTCAAGCAAAGATCACAGACGGGAAGAGGTACAGACGGCTAAGGCTGGCGAATAGAGCAAGCCCAGTGTTTAGCAGGGATGCAGATGTGAATATGGGGCTCAGTGCAAGTGAGATATTTACTCTTGATACAAAGATAGGAACTGAGGAGAGGCATTGCTGGGTTAGGTCTGGGAAGGATTATTTGAGAGAGTGTTAGAACATGGATGCATGGGGACGTCGATGTGATTGACCCAAGGTTGAAGACAACCCTGCGAGCTGAGTATGGGGCGCAGGACAGGGGAGTTGATGCATGGATTGAAACATGGATATGGACAAGATTAGATGCTTTGAAGGAGGTGAGGTGGAGGGGAAACAAGAGATGCACCTGATGCAAGGCACTCGTCTGCCTCTTGATTACCGTACGTAGTGTTTAAAGCGTCCTCGACACCAAAAGGTCGGGACATGGGGAGTCCATCCCATTGTTTGGTTTGGCTTGTCCATGTGCCACCCTCTCACATCGACCCTTGTCGCATGCTTGCCGCTCCCTGTTCGTCAAGAATGCGACAAGTGGCGGGACGGGGCCGCAAGCGCCATCTAAGCCTTCAAGGAACGGTACCTGATCGAGCAACTAGCGCCCAGGTGTGGTACCGTACCAAAAGGACACTATCCATCGTCGACCGATCCGATGGCTTGCGGGTGGTAGCTCGCGCTTAGACGAAGTTGGCGCAGGCCTATCCAATGCTTTGTGAAGAGAGACAGAATGGCGGCGATGATCAGTAAGAATGGTTGCATTAAGAAAAGGGAATAACGTTGCACATGAAAGAATCCAAAAATACCAGCACGGGAACAGCAGCACAGAGGCGTAGAAATTCCAACTGGAACTAGGGGAAGCTCGGGCACTAGGGTTAGAATTGATTTCGGAGCTCCAGTTTCACAGGAAGCCAAAGCAATGCATCTGCATCTGGGCACTGAGACATCGTAGGCACAAGCGTGGGCGTGGGCGTGGGCGTGGTCGGGCGGGTATGGCGTCAAGGCGCCTGTTGGTGGCTGCTCTAGAAGCTAGAACCGACCATGGCTTGATGTCTCCAGAATGACAACAGACATGACATCGCGCATTTAGAATGGGTGTGGTTGTCTGACAGGGATCGGCAACGATACGTACTTAGATGATAGGAGAGAAAAAAGATCCCATAGAAGAGGCTGTGTCTAGAAAGGTTAAGTCGGAGAAAATGAGCTGGGGAGAGAAGGGAAGGCGGCCGACAGGTACCTCAGGCGGTACTGTACAGCAACTTCGAGTAGTTCTTGCTTGCATTGCATCAGTGACAGGTACCGGCTTATCTAAGAGCTTGACCACCGACGGGACTTGGTAAGCATTCCCATGAGTCTGGTCCCGATATTACCGATATATCACATATTGAGTTTATTGACACTGGTTTAGATGGTGTTTTTTAAGCTTTTTTATATAATTACTTCCATCACTTCGATTGTGAAGCAACTCGTCTTGAGGGATCCTGGGTCCGTCCAACCTTACAAGTGCTTATCCCAAGGGCATGGCCCGACCAGCCTCATAGGGCCCGCGCCGTTATCCATAGGTACCTAGTCCACATGGTTTAGGTCAGTCGGTAAGGTACTACCTAGGTATGTTACCTTGGGTTTGGTCTAAGCTTTTTAACCGAGTTTTCGATATCACCCACATTTAAACCGAGTCGCACATACTGATCTCAATACCGGTATCCCGTTCTCATGACAGCCGTATGTATTGAAACATTACTTGGAATGTTAGATCCTTTCCCCTGGTATCGTCAATTCGCATCCCTGTCTGTCGTACAAGGGTGATATTAGCCCAGCCTTGCTGGGCGCTAGGGTAGCCAAACAAATGTCCAGGGCAGACACACCACGGCTCAGCCACTCGATGGCTGATTGGTCAATGTTTCGTGAGGGCCTGAGGTGACCTATTTTTACCCCCTTGGCTGCGCCTGTTGGGTCCTGCACAGACAAAATCTGCTTGTTCAGTGTGATGCGCTAGTTGGAGCAGAAAGTCGCATAACTAGCAGCGTCATGATAATGCTTGTTGTGATCGACAAATAAATTAATCAGAGACAAGGCATTCTTTGATTTACAGATCGACGAGTCAATTACTGCAACGCCTTGCGGCTCATTGACCCATAAACTGACTACATACCTATTTACTTATCGAATGCTAATCTTCTTATGAGTTGGGAACAAACCGTTGTGCTCGTCCCAAGCAAAAGGATGCGAAATGCGGGGCCGGACCGTTCCACGTTCAACAACACCGTTTCTCCCCGCCTTTTGGCTGGAAATGGAAATAGGAAATAACAACGTCCACGAGACTCGCGACGCCAGCCGTTCAAGGGTTGTGCTTCTTTCCCAAAATTAGATCGTCGCATCTCCTTGTCTACCATATGTCATTCGCACACTGAGTCTAGTATAAACGACCTTTTTCGGGTTTTGAGGCCAAGACCCTGTAGGATTCGGCACGCACGGAGAATATTCCTTAAAAGAAGTCCTCCACAGGACTCGTAGAACTGTTTGCTGCAACCACAGATTCATATCTGGGTGACAAGGGAAAGCCCCCGGCGCTTGGATCCCGACTATTTTTGTATTTAGAGGCTCTTTTGAACCAATACATTGACAAGAAGAAGCGGCTTTTCCCAATGCAGATCTTGCACGAAATCTACTCTGTTTCTGTAGCCAAGGTCTCGCTAAGATGCTACATGAACTCATCCCGTCACTTCGTCGTACAGTAGAACATGCCCATGTTGACAACTAACTTTTCAGCACCGATGTATGTCTGGTCTGATTCGCATGTGCTCCTCTAGAAGTGGAAGCAGATCTACGCATGGGGACACACCCCTTGACTTGGCACCTGTTGCCTGTCACTTACCACATGCCTCCAACTTTCTATACACCGCAATTTGAGTTTATGAACTACCTAGGAGTCGCCCATTCGAGTACTGGCCGAAATCTTCATGACCCTTGTGGGGGTCATCTCCATTCGGACGTTTATCCGTGCACCCTTGATCGTATCATTTGCCTATCGCAACCGGGAACCGTTGACATTTAGGAGTTGGACATTTTCCGCATCACCATTTACAATCAGGTTTCTCCTGTACATGCTGGGTAACTGCTTTCTGCATCGCATTGCACGGAGTGGAGAGATTCCTGTTGCCTAATGTCGATCGTTTAGGTCGAGGCAGACTGATGCGATGCTGACTGTGCGATCGACAAATTCTAGCAGATATCCCCTCAAACTCCAATTTACCACCTTTGTCATGATGAGCTGGTCCCATCTGCTGAAACGTTACTTCTAATCATCCAGCGCTGCAGTAATCATCTGACTGAGCTCAATTGTCAGTGTAGCCGCCTAGGCGCCTAAGCGCAGACGCCCCCATATTGTGGTATTCGAGTGTCTGCGCCATCCGGAAAGCTAGATACCCTGAAGAGATTTGGCTACTGATTTGCTCCGGTATTTCAGCCTCACCGAGGGGGCCATGCATATTGGCTTAGTGAGCTGTACGACAATAGTTATCTTGTCAGCAACGAGGAGCTCGAAATAAACTCCCGAGCCAAAGGATTGTACCTGCAGAGACGCAGGCCGTAACGAGGTGGTCCTAAGAATAAGAGTGTCACAGAAATGAGGGTATCGGAACAAGTGAACTGTTAACCATACTCGTCGGATTAGTTCGCCCAACTGTCGTACAATCCCACAGCTACCTTAGACAAGAAGAATCCGCATTCAATAGTGCGCCGAGGTTACACAGTACCTAGTCGCGAAAGCATTCGATACATAAAACAAACCAGAACGCCTTGTATACCGGTCCTGTATTGAAGCGCACAGCCGAATACTGATTAAAATAATAATCCAAAGTCCATTACACAAAACATCTGTTGTCCCTATCGTGGTGGCCCTGCCTCCTCTTCCTGCTGGACATTTTTAACCAATCTCCCACATTTGCCATCAGCATGACCATACAGCTTCATTTATAGCTTCGAAGGAGCGGCTGCAGCAGCTGCTGCGGTTGGAGTATTTGATGAGTCCTTCGGTGATTTTGCGTGTGAATCACTCTCTTCAGACTCATCGTCGCTTGGGGGTCGGCTACTGTCGGTGACATTGCCTCGGCTCTTGGTCATCTTGACGATCGTTAGCTTAAGATGGAAATTGTGGTACATGCCCACTACTCACCCATCCTCGGACACCACCAACAAGACCGAGAGCGTAACCAGTGATGAACTCTTTGGGTGTACCAGAAGCACCTGGCGAACGTAGTGCCTCTGAGCTGCCTGCACTGTTAAATCGGGCGGGGCTCTGAGGACGGCTAGTAGGCCAGAACTGCTTGAGCTCACGACCGAGTTCTTGACCAGTAGTGGTCCAGTTGTTTGTGATGTTTTCCCGCAGGTCCTGAACATGTCGCTTGAGATCCAGCTCGTTCTTCTTGAGCCAGCTCACATTGAGCTCCTGGCGGGAAGTACCGCGCTTGAATTGTCGGGCGATGTACTTCTCGTAGTCGCGAACGATTCTGCGAGCTGTTAGAATGTTGGCTAGCATAGATGCTCGCTGGCATACCTTGTGATGAGGCCAGTTGTGCTGACACCTTCTGTTCGCTGTGTGACAAGGAACTTGCCAGCAGCCTTGATGGGCTGGTAGATGTCGTCGCCCTCGTCCGCGCCGTAAGGGAGATCGTCGTGAGCGACATAGTCGAGCTTGTTCTCGTCGAGAAATTCGGGGGTAACAATCCAGGGGCAATCCTCGATTACCTCATCGACCCATTTGCAGTGGCGGAGAGTTTCGGCACGCTCAGCGGCAGACATCACAGTCAAACCTTTGCGCTTGTGTGTTTCGTGGTCGCCTGTGACTCCGACGACGAGCGTTGTGTCAGGAAAGGCCTTCTTGGCCTGCTCGAGTTGTCGCATGTGGCTAAAGAGTGGTTAGCAGACAGCTCATTTTCAAGAAGTCGGTTCTTTAACTTACCCAAGATGGAAGAGATCGAACACTCCATCTGCGTATACACGGACAGGTCGGCCAACAGGAGGTGGGTTCGTCTTGTAGCCACCAGCAGGATCTTGGAGCTTGCCAATGGGAGGAGGGGGCATTGCCTCAATTCTTCGCTGCTCCTCTTCGTCAAGCTCCCTCAGGGAAGGCTTGCGACCCTTGCGACCGACTCGCTCAGCAATGTCGATGCTGGCTTCTGTCGTGTCGCTTGGCTCGCCAGGATCCAGAGCATGGTCAGCGGCTGTCTCGAGGACACGATCCGAACTGGAGCGCTGTCTCTTAGGAATTGGGGCTCCAACAGCTGATCCTCGGCTGTGAAGTCGTCCCGACTCAGCGGCTGTTGTGTCTCCTTCCTCACCAGAGGCATCACGAGAGGATGTCTGGATGCCATTATCACCAAAGTCAGCGGTCGACTCCGCGCGAAGGGAGTTTCTCTTGCGCTTCCCGCCCTGGGATGAGCTCGACGGCGAAGACATGGCTGATAGATAAGACTGGCACTGACTTGACTGTTGGGGGAAGATGACGTGGCTTCGGTGTCGGGTCGGGTTGTGGGAGAGGATGAGAGAGACCTTTAGGAGTAGGGGCCTAGGTAGTAGGTAAGTATGGTCTTAATTATGTGCGTGCTGAGGAGCGAGACGGGGAAGCGACCTGGAACTGCTGTAGCAGTAGGTAGGTACCTAGTTTATTAACCTGGAGAAAAACGGTTACGGCTACCGAAGCAGTTCCACGTTGACGCGAAAAAAACCGGGTCTTGAATTGGGTCTGGACTGTCTCTCAAGCTGATTGGGTTTGGGGCTTAATATTCCCTGTAAAAATCTGGGGTCCCAAAACTTGGCTCGCCTTACAACAGCACTATATATGTATGCGAGACTCTGAAGATACCGTCATCGGAGGCGACATATGATGATGATTGATAAGGGAAAGAGCAGAAACAAGAAACAAGGCATGATGCATTGATGATTGATCAAGGCTGGGACAAAAGGGATAAGCTGATATCTGCAGATAAGCCACTGCTTCTTCCTCTCCTCTAGAGTTCCCCTATACATGGCTCTCGATGGAAACGAACGACACCATCTAATTAAAAAAGTGGCTCGGCTTTCTCGTGTCAAGAAAGGAGTGTAATCTCAAAACTTAATAGCGCAACTACCATCGCCATCACACGTTGGATGAGACAGGCAACTGCTCTCGTGACAATGCTTGCTCACTTGTAATTGCGCTCAACATGAATTTTGTGCATCTTAATTACTGTTTTTGAGCCGAATCATCTTGTCAAATGTCAATTTCTCAAACGCGATGTGGATTGTGGCGTCATTGCTGTCACCCCTTTAGCTGATTGATCTACATGAAAAAGGGGAAGAAGCTTGTAGAAGAGCTCCGGGGACGGAAGCTTACAGTGGTCACATGATGACGCACGTGAGTGTCAATCAATAGGTACCTTACCGATCCGTACATCAGATTCATCCAAGGTTCCTCATATTTGCCCAAAGAACTTAACAAAGCTTGGCCAATGACCCAAATCAGTCAAGCTTCTCCACAGACTACCTAGACATTGCTCTTCGACTCAAGTAATCCTAAAATTGCAGCTTATAACATGCGTTTCAAGGAATCATCAGCAAGGGCATCTTCATAAATCTGAAATTATATTATCAGACAACCTGCTAGACCTAATATGTGGCAATCCAGTCCATATAGAAAAATTACTAAGGTAAACCCACAGACCAAAAAGATGCGTTTGATACTTTAGCTGGTTCATTGACCCCAAGGCCCAGAACCACCCAAGTCCAGGTAATCGTAGCCAGGAGCAAAATTTGGTCAGTATTCCGAATACTACCGGAACAATAAAGCAGAGAAATATAGAATTGTCCGCGCACCCAATTGGTGCTTCCGTAGAGTTAGTTTCTTTCCCTCTTCAGGGCTTCTCAAACTCTGGTCGTTTCAAGCTGTATATAATTTCGATAGGCCCTTGCCTTTTCGGACCAAGAACCCCAAACCAAACAAGTTCCTTGACTGATACTCAGCCTTCATTGGTGGTTAGCAAATACCCTAGTCATTAGCACGAGACATATCTGGACCTACATCCAAGAACAAGATCAATCTGGCTTCTATGGCATTTCCATAAGTGAACAGATGGCCTGCTTTCTTTGTTCTGTCTGTTCCAAACCAACCAGGATGCCAATCAGACCCTTCGAATAAGCTTGGGCTAAGCCTTAACTGCAAATAGCGAAAAGTGTATATCCTGAATAAGCTTCCCCTTGTCAAGGTTTCAGTGACAAAGTGGTAGCGGCTTGTCTGTCATTGGCTCCGTTCATAGGATTGACTGGCCTGCAGCTGAAGGTCTGGGACGGTATCAATGCATTGCATATATAGTAGATGCTTTATAAGGAGCCAGGCCTTGACAAACAACATGTAGTCCAGCAAGATATTCTTCGCTAGGTACTTTCTTTCATCTTTGGCAGTCCCGGGCAGGTCCGCAGAGCCACATTCTTCAACCTCTTCCACTGTATTCTTGTTTAAGTGATCACTCGTTTAAGGATTCCCAATATGCACCTCTACCAACTTTGACTCTGCATTTTCCGCTCAGCAGTTCTACAACCAGTGTAGCGATGGTGCTTACAACGGAGACACCAAATGTCCCCTCTGTCCAGCATGCGCCGAAGCAAGCAAGTGGTACAGCCAATATACTCCCGATGCCAAAGCCAAAGCTGGTCCCTCTACTAAGGCTGCTGTCGAGAAGTCCAATGCTGATCTTTCCCGGCTTCGGGTTCCCAGGGTTCCTTGAAGCTCCTGGTAGCGGCAATCAAAACGGTGGCGGGAATGACGAGAATGCTTCTCTTCCTCCCATTGTCTCAGCTCCAGCGGAGGAGACTGGCGAGTCCAGTGATAAGCGTGTTGAGACCCCTTCAATGGCCCCGTAGCTAACCCAGCTGAAGCTTCTGTCGATACTCCTGATGCGGGCTCTGGATTTGGCTCAGAAGCTGAAGGCATCACGCCAACCATTCCCGCCTCCAACAGTGCCAGTGCTGCTGCTACCACCATCCCTGTTTCCGGTGAATTTGACGGACGTCAATCTTGTGCTACTATATCACCGTATATTACTTTGAATCGAGTTTCCAAAGCCGATCAAGACACATATATTTGCCTTAGTCAAGTGGGATCCAGCAAGATCGTCGATGAATCTAGACCAATTGCACTCATTGTGCGTTTATAACTGTCGTAGTGTGCATGTCTTCCTGTGAAGGTAATATTCCGTTCAAGACAACCAGATCAGCGCTGATGGTCCAACTCCAAGACATGCTTGACTTGACGTGGGTTGTTGTCACTGCTGAAAGGGGGATCACCTACTAGGTACCTTAATATCTAATATTTTCTGCCAGTGGCAGCAGCTGTCATAGATCCAATGATGATGGTTGCCTGGGGCCAACTTTTGTTTTCAGGCAACTCTCTATTTATTTTGTTCATCATGTCTGTCTCTCCCATCTTTTCTTTTCTTCCGCCCTCGCTCCTAATCTGACCACCGCATCACCCCCGGGCCTTGCGCCCGGAGGACTTCTCCCCTGAGAACCCTTTCTTGGCCGTTGTTGAGAGAACCTGGTGAGTGATATACGGATTGAAGTTGCTCCTCTCACCTTGCAGTTCTGTTGTCTGACCGAGTGTATCTGAGTAGCCTCGGGAGACGAGAGATGTGCAATGCTGAAAGACTTCGTAAAGCAACACAGCACCCTAGGCGCGCCCATCACGCCTAGGGATGCCCTGTCACGATAATTAGTTTCTGGTGGGAAGGGGCATACGTTCGGGTGCAACGTATGACAAAATTTCCTCGCCGTTCGTCGTGTTGCATCCTCCCTTTTGGGGGGGCCCTCTTCGTGAGGGTCGACGTTCGGATTCTCCTTTTTTTTCTTCCATCACTGTCGACGGTTATCACTAGCCTTTTGACCAGCGTATACTCACGAAGTCTTTCGTATTCTGTCTCTCTCTTTCTCATTGTTGGATGCTCTCCGTCTGAGGAATCCCAGGGATCCGAGGTTCAAATCCGAGCCTGTTCAGCCAGTTGGTTGGCCTCGCATCAACACCGACTACCGCAAAGATTGCTTGGACTGCAAGCCGAAACATACTTGCGGATGGTGCGGCCCGCCAGGCATTCCGGACCTCCGATCACGTGTGTTTACCCTTCAGGGAGAAGCATTATGTGACCTTTTGTGCTGCCCATGTCGACAATTGTTATCCAGGATACGAAGTTGCTGAGGCTGACTTGAAGCGTATTGAAGCACTATTGTTGCAAGTTGCCATTCTCCGCACTTACTCACTCCAAAACCGAGTTCGCACACATACTGGTGTCAACGGTTGGCTCTTCGAGACCCCAGATCGCGATCTTCCTCACACGATCTGGACAGCAACCCACCAGGAGTTAGAAACCTCATCCGGATCGGAAGAGCAACAAGGACGTGGTCTTGTCGATTTCGTTGAGGGACGAATCCTCCTCCATACTCTCAAATCAACCACGGATCATGCGAGGTCTCTCCTGGAATCCTTCACCATGGGCGCATTCTACATGTGAAAACGGCCAAAGGACTGTGGTTTGATGTAGGGCAGTCTTTTCTTAAACTGCAATCATCAAATACTTTGACTTCACACCGAAAAGTTTCAACGCCTTGGCTGCATCTCTATCTAGACACTTGGTCTGGAACAATTTCATGAAGGATGTTAAGATCAAAAAAGCACAGGGGAAATTGACCCTGTTGCGAAATTCGCTTTCGAAGATGCCTTCCAATCTGTCACTAACTTCAAAAGCCACGAACAAGTCCCTTCTTAGCTTCAGACGCGTCGACAGAAACAAATGCAGCCGCGTATGGAGGAGGATGTCGTTTCATTTGCTGCTAGCCCTACCAATTTGCTTGTCAAAAGTTTCAAGCGCCAAACCATCATCTTCAACTCCTGTCCAAAGCAAAGAGCATGGCGTGTCTGGCCTTGTTAAGCCTAAAAGCTTGGGGATCGAAAAACCCTAGTCCAATCTGAAGGATATTTTAGCCCTCAGCAACCGAAGTACGGTAAATTTGAGAATACCAAGCCTCCTCGACGGTCACCACCAGGCCCTGAATTTTCAATCTGATGGATCTTCGAAGTGCCATGCTGCAGCGAGGCCAGGGGTTCACTTGTCCCTATGGTGAGACTATGGCTCAAGTAAGGAAGCAGAAGTGCAGGGACTCAAGCGAAGGTCAGTTATGATGTTTCCTTGAAATACTTCTGCTGCTAATATGTTTAGGGGTCATTCTTGATATCAACGATCTAGAGATACGTCTGTGCAATCTCTAGGGCGCCTACTTATTCCCCCAATACCGCCAAATGCTGGTCAGGGTATTGTCAAGGTACTAGCAGCTACCCAGCTCCCCATCAAGGCTAGCGAATCTTCGAGTTGCTTGCCTTTCTCTATCAACACAGGAGACGTGAGTGATGGTCCCAAGCTGATATCAGACCATCGACTTCTACAACTTGAACACGCAGGCCCCGAAATGTTCAGGCAATTTGGCTCACGGCCTGATGGCACGAATACCGTTTGAACCAGATGTCTGACAACGAAATGTTCTCCATTCAATCGATACCTTTGAAAGTGTGCTGTCTATCAAACCAACATCCGATGGCAGAACACATTCCTTTCAAGAGAGTGACGATGAGGCTTTGCTTACACAGGGCCGGCAAAGACTCTCGCTGATCGAATTTCTGCCCAGATGGAAGCACGGTTTTCCAAGACTTGTCGTCAATAAGCTAGCAAATCGACATGGGCGGTTCACACGAGAGATTAACTCGTCAACAATTCCACCCAGTGCTAGACTAGGGTAACTACGCCTTGCATGGTGCAAATCATGTTGCTGGCCCCAGGCAAAGCTGTCGGGTGCCGTCCCTGGTCACATCGAGTGACACAGATCACATTCGATTAAGTCCACGGTATTGGTCAGGCTAAGGGTGGTTACGTACGTCAACAGCTCCTACTGCTTGCGCCTTGCCCTATCATTACTCTTTCGGCCACGGTAGAACATCTCCACGAGCTCAAGGATCACTTGACCATATCACCGTCACAGAAGGCGTATGACGTGGACATGATCGTTCATGAGGTCTCTATTCAGGTCTTCGTAAGGCACGTGAGAAAGCCCCAACTCCGGGTTGGCGTACCCAGTGCTTGCACTCAAGGGTCGGTATGTTTATTAAGTCTCCGTGTGTGCGAAACTTCTAATGCTATACAGGAATATTTCTCTGTTGGATGATGTGAATCTGGAGGCTCAGGATCGCCTCACATTGCCAAGGCTTTAGACCGACACATTGTACAACTATTCCCTCTTTCTTGTGAGCTCCACGTGCACAACGATTTTCCAGCGCTTGTCTCCCCTTACGACCGCCTTGAGTGAAACAAAAGTCAATGCTTGGGAAAGATTGGATCCAGGAGTACCCTTTGGGCATTTCAGTTTCGCTGAGACCAAGACTTGTTCGGCTGTTTTCAACAGCCCTGCGCAGTTCGAGCAATGACAAGGAGAGTTTGATTTTCCGGGGAATGCCGTCTTCCATCGTGTCTCTCATGACTGGGTTCGCGGGATCATCATATCTTCATGCCCGGCAGACTTAAGAGGACGATTCTCAGTGTTACCCACTCTAGTTGTACGTCTCCTCGTACTTCGGATTGCGACCAATGAGTCCGAGTTCGTATTCAACGCAGTTAGTGCCTTGTTAGCATAAAGCCGGTGATACCTAGGAGGACCGGACGATGATATGTCAGTCAAACATCATCTGCAATTCTCGACCGAGTAACTGAGACGGCAAGATCTCTTGTTGTGAAAGATTCCAGCGTCTGCCCGAGCAGCTCTCATCCCTAAAAGCCAGGAGACGGGAGACGTTATGATTCTTCAAAGCTATGTGCAACTTTACACAAACATCACCTTTCGGATATACCAGATCGAGACTTACCACTGACCAAGATATCTTGAGAGCACTGTACCCCGGGCACATGATCGCTATCTGCGGCTCTATCTAGCTTTACTGACAACCCAAAATAATTAAGGATTTGTATCTGGTTCAAGAAGGTGTCTTCATTGAGGGGTCTTCTATTCCTAATACTACTATGTTGCGCCATGATAACGATACCCAGTTCCATGTTCAATTCTATGACTCAAGCATGACAGTTGGAAAGTACCAGTATGCGACAATAGCATCAGGTCAGGTGGCGTCTAGTTCCATCCTAAGGACTTTTGGTTCACACTCAAGACCATTGGGACCAGGTCTTACCTAGAGGGTCATCGGTGCAAAATACGACCTCGACTTGGACAATCCCGAAGAAAAGGACAATGAGATGTTCCAGAGGTATCTCCTGGCGGTGATGAAGCACAGAAACCGACAGACAACCCCGAGAACATGGTCAAAACTGCAGTCCAGAGCAAGAGAAAGTCGCTGGTAGCTGGGAGGACGACAGCCAAGAACTGCCGGAGTCAGAGGGTCTCAGGTCATACACAGCCAACATGCTTGAGCCTCAGGAGTTGGGCTTGAACAACAAGGATTGGTTGATACTGGAGGTGGAATTCGGGGCCAAGTTCTATGAGATTGGGGCGTCAACAGCACGTTCATTTCGATGTCGTGATAGAAACAAGTTATTCAAATGTGGCGTTCTGTAAAGCACACATATCGTACCTAGCCAGCCCGTGGCAATGTAGCAATCCCAGTTATTCTATCGACACTTGTGCCAGTACGAATCCAGTGAGAGTCGCTCAATTCCATTTAGTCTCGGGGCAGAGACGAACATCTATCTTTGCAAAGACCTTGACCCTCGGTGTGGATTATGGTTGGCCGCCTAGACATGGCCTCACCGATGCATGTATCAAGACTTTCCTATGTTTCCTCGTGTTTTGGCCCCCTTACAGTAAATGTTTATGACATGTAAGAATAATTGCTTTTTTTTTTCCCTGTGGCAAATGCCACGATCCCAACACCATCCACACGCTGAATGAAAACCTGAGTCGCCTGAATGACTCGTTTGAGACACAAAAATTCAGATGGCGCTGAGAGAAATGTATTGATTTGATGCACTGGGTTCAATTGACTGAGTCAAAACTGTCATCCTTTTCCGTCTTCGCGGTGAATCTGCCCCTCCCCCTTTTCACCCCTCGCATTTTAGACGTGTTCTAGAAACATGCACGGAATCACCGAAACAGAAACGCCCTAACCTTCTAGAAGACCTTTTCTTTTGGTGGGGGGTGTTCAACTAAGGTAGACGAAACCACTAAACTTAGTACTAGACCCCTGCTAGGGGAGGAAAGAAAACTCAGGACCTTGATCCTGAATGATAAAAATACTTAGGATAAATTTAGGGTAACTTCACTAAATTTAGGAGATATTTATTATAGACTTAGAATAACCTTTACTGAGTTTGTTTTGATACCCTATATCAAGGTCCGATGTTTTCTTGCTCCCCCAGGGACCCCTGGTACGTACGTACCTGAAGGTCTGTAGGTAAGGTACCTAAAGGTAGGTAGGTACTACCTGGCCCTGCCCTGGGTACAGGAACAGTGCCTCCCCCACGCATCCCTCGTATGCAATCAGGGGCAGGCCATTTGTTTGTTGTATCGAGATGCTGCACGTAATGAGTGGGATGCAGATGCAGGAGAGGAACAAGGATTAAAAGTACGAGGGCTTCAATGGCGTCATTGGTCTTCAGAGTCGCTCAACGCTTCCTGTCGAGGAGGGACAGTACCGTGCAAATGGAGACACTTGATAATATTGTATAGATTGTGTATATAATTCAACTCCCCTTTTGGGAGGCAATGCTTCTAAACATCCAGAAAACAAAACGATTGTGAGCATGCACGTGTTTTCCTCCTTTCCTTTTGATCCAATATGTACTACAGTAGGTATGCTCAACAACCGCGAGTGGTATCTCCTCCAAATCCCTCCATGTAAAACAAGGAAAATCGAGATCCATGATTTTGTATTGAAAAACAACAGCAATAAAAATCATTTGCCATATGAAACAGCCATGCAATGCAAATCTTGTAATGTTTTAAAAAAAAAAAGCACAAACGACAGGTAAGCCTCTCTATAAGCAGAAATCAATAAATGACGGGCCAAACCGATAAACATCTGTCGACGTATATACAACAGGATTTGTGTTCGAGATTGGGGTTTGCACCCCAAGGAGGTGTTCTTTTGTTGTACGCTGCTAGTGATACAGTGCACTGGAGTGAGTCGAGAGAGGGCGTTGGATAAGCTAGAACCGATCCCAAACGCCCGGTGCTTGACATGGTGATGCATCCATGTTTCTTCTCAGTTGCCATCGAAAAAGGTGCAATCCATGCACCTGGGGGTATAGTCGCTCTATCCGTCGAGCCCATTTCGTTTGACTGAGCGTCTAATAACTACCTGCCAAAACAATGGCACTCCTTCGTGGTCTCTTATGGCGCGTATGAATCAGTCCCCAAACGCCATGTCATCATGATGATTATAAATGATAATCAAAGTCATCAATATAGGTCTCCCAGTCACGGCGGCTAATATCGTCGACTCCATCACTGCCCGTGTGAT